AAGAAGAAGAAGAAGAAGAAGAAGAAGAAGAAGAAGAAGAAGAAGAAAGGCATGTGACACTGTCATACCTGATCCTTCACACGAGTCACATAGCCTTCCTTTAGCCAATTAACAGATTTGGGCAAAGCATCTCGCCAATGTCCAGAGTTAGGAAAATTACTATGAAGTGAACGCTTCCAGGGACTTCTCACTGTGTCGTTAACTGGCAATGTAAAACCAGTTATCATGTCCCTGAATTCTTCATCAGTCTTCAAGAGAAAGTATATAAATGATTATTAAAGAAAAGACTCCATGTAAAGCACTAAAGAAAACACAGTGTGAAGCAATCCATGTCACACTCACCATGTCAGCAAAGTCATTTATTTCCATGGTGTAGGTATTCTTCCCCAGGGAATTCTCCATGTTGTGCAGTTTAATCTTTTTCACATTTTCTTCCCATACTGCTCTCTTCAGTACATCTTCTTCCTGGATGAGAATATAATGGAAGACAATTCATTCCATTTAAACTCCTGCACAGACTAATGTTGCAGACTTGCTGTTATAGGTGAATAGAGGCCAAGGAAAGGATCTCAGGATACTATGGTCTCACTTTTACATCCTAAGGAAAAGTGAATCTGAACATCCTGTGCTCACAATGATTTTTATTATGCAGTCTCTCAATGGTGGTGGTTGTGATGGGGCACCTATGAACTCTCATGTACCCAGACACTTTTACTCTGGAACCCCTCTGAACATTTTCATGGATACCAACCGGAGTGTAAGACTTCTCATATTTTATCTTCCACTCTTCCCATTCGATATCCAAACTGAGATCAAATGCTGAGGCACCTGACACAACTCCCAAGGACAGGATGACCAGGATCACAGCAGGAGTCATGTCTAAACCTGGTTTTGAAAGAGAAATAAAGATATGACTACACAAGTGTTTTAAAAACATCTTCTTACTCCTTCTTGAGAAATTAAGCCATGCATGGGCAATATAATAATTTGCATTATTCTTCCAAACACATTTTAAAATACTGAAGAAACCATTGAGAATGTCTTTGAATCAAGTCACACAGTGATAGTCATTAGACCCATTGCAAAATGAAAATCATGTACTCTGATTTCTAGCATTGTAAACTTTAGATGTACTACACATTGTTTCAGAAAGATCTTCATGCACAGTAAGAAACAAGTGTCTTGAGATATCACTACAATTTCTATTAACCAAAACTTCTAGTATGTGGTATTTGTTTTAATTTCAAGGTGAACTCAAGAGTTGGAGTCCCAAGTCATCATATGCCTTTCTAATACATAGTAAGGGATGAGCTTGTCTTTAACTTTCTCTTCTTTAGTGATACTTTGTGAACTATCATCTATAAAGAATGTGGGAAGAATCCTTTACTATTCTTTCCATCTATACAATCAAATTCCTACTTGTTACCTATGTAAGAATAATGTCACATAAAATCCAACAGGAAGCCAAAGCCACTAGAAAAAGAGGAGTATACTATCAAGTTAATAATGCAATTTTATATCCTGTACTTGCTGGATTTTTAAAGCAACACTCCCCATAGGACCTGATAGGGACATATATCCTGCTACTGCATCTGCATCTGTAAATTGAAAACAGTTACATCTATGGGTCAGTGCAAGAGATGTCTTCAAAAAACAAGCTGCAACTCTGTGGACAGAATCAGACTTTCAGTTACCAGAACCCTATAGAAACATATACCCAGAAGAGTCTTGGTTTCCTCTTAAACTTCTCTACCCATCCCCATTCTTCCTACATGGAGAGCTGGTGATGATTAAGATATATTTTTGTTCTTTGTGATCTCTTTGATTCTCCATGGAGTCTCCCACAGCACCCATCCAAGCCCACCTCCACTCTGCCATTCACTGGCAGGGCCTTACCTTTCTGTGATGACCACTACTGCCTCAGATCACTCCACAGATTCAACTTGTTGGAGGATGGTCAGGATCAAGGATCTGTCCCACATATATATCTGAAGTATCTATAGGTTTGGTCCTGCCCCTCATTCATGCCTTTCTTTTGATTGGCTGTGTTGGTGGCTAGATTAAGCCTGTAGGCACTGGGACTTCAGGCATCTTCTGAGATATAATCTGATTGACCCTTTGGCATGGCTGTAGGCTACCTCTGTGGACTGCAGGAAGCTGAATTTGTGAACCTTGTCAAAGAAAGTCATCCTGTAGACCTTGGATCACATTATACTGGATCTTTTCACTTCTATTATTCTGTTTCCTGTTAAACATATGTGGTGTTGTACCCTTTAAGTTTAGAATAGGATGTTTAAGATACCATCTCTTGAATGGGCATAGTCATTATATTTTATTTTATATTTAATCCATAGCTATGATTGGATACTTTGAGAGCACACACCCTTGGATGCTCTTTTCCTGGTGTCATGGTGTAACACAGATGGATCTCATGAAAACGTTTAAGAGACTGTGACACCCAAGGAAGAAATGAAATTCAAGGCTGAGCCATAAAATAGGGAGTATGATGAATGTGTCCATAGCCAGTGGTCTCATTAAATTCACTGGGTCTTCTCTTGGAGAATAAACTGAATCATCACGTAGAAGCACCATCTTCCCTTTCCCCTTCATTGTGGCAACATTGTGCTAACTGGAAACACTTTTATTTGCCATTTTCATGACGCATTCTGGTTATGTTAAGAGCACACTTATTGTTTGACAGCATGCAAACAAGTATATTTAGAAGGATTTTCTCTTGAAGTTTTCACTGGAAACAGAACAGAAATCCTCTACTTCCCCTTCCCTTACCTTAACATTCTTCATTTCTTTTTGTCAGTGTAGATATTTGGATTTGGCTACTGCTTTTGGTTTAGTGATTTTCCTTATAAGGTTCGTGAGGAAATGTAGTTTCCATTGCATTGGTCTGAAAAAGTGGGGCCATTAAGAAACACATTATTCTACAATAAAGAGTGTCGTATTTTGACTTTGTGTTGTCAGGTTTTAATATTATATATGACACAGAGATGTCATCCTTGATTTATTCATTTATTATTGCCTTTGGTGCTTTTCGTAAACCTGGAAAGAAATGTAGGATATCTGTCTACATTATGCCATACAGGACCCAATAGGCACAAAATGTAAGACTATTTGAGTCATTGCTAAATGTTGTTTAAGTAGTGAAAGGTGATTTTTTTAAAGGCCACATAAGATATTTTATAGAATGCAGAAGCACCAATAAGAGACATCAGTTCTTTGTATATACCACATATCCATCTATTCTCTGTGGGCCTTCTGCTTGTTTCTTTCTTCAGCCTTTGTATTTATTTTTAATTAACCTGTGAATCTAATACACAGTGTATTTGTTTTTACCATTCCCTTCCTATTGCCTTAACTCCTCCAAGCCCCTCCCCCCGGGAGTTTCCAGAACCTCAGTCACCAAAATTTAGAATGCATGGGCTGTTGCAAGGCCTTGGGCATGTGTATAGCAGAGGACTGCCTGGTCTGGCTTCAGTGGGAGAAGATGTGCCAAACACTTGAGAGAAATGGGGCCCCAAAGAAGGGGATGCCTTGTTGGGGGTGTGGGAAGCACCCTCTCAGAGGCAATGTAGAGGAAGGATCTTATGAGTAACTGTGAGAGGGGGAACAGTAGGTAGGTAATGGCTGGAAGATAAATAAAATAATTTGAAAAAGAACAATGATAAAGAACTGAAGACTCAGAGGAGGGCATAACAGGAATGCTCTCCTCCTCTTCTGCACTAGATGCTTTTCACAAAAATCTCATATACCACAAATGTGACCAAGCTTAGAATGCTGAATTTACATTGTAATCTCCATTTCCTTGCTGACCGCTAGAGGCATCTCCTTTACCCCTACAAATGTATAGACCCATTCTTCCCATGCCAACAGATACTACTAAGATACTCTTGTACTGGTATAATTAGGTGTAGAAGGAAAATGGTCAGAATGTGTGGAGACATCTGAGTGATTTTGAATCTGGCAATTAGAGTGAACTCTAGCTTGGAAAGTTTAACAGATGAACTGTGTCTCTGTGTTCTACATAGCAATGTTTCTGGACTTTGGGTCAGATACTCTCTGAGCACCAAGAGATAGACACAATCAGCAGGAAAGAGCTAGTCAACAGGAAAAGCCTTGGGCCAAAACATTCCTCCTGAGCGGCATCTACCCAAGTGCCTCCACATAGACATAAGGAGGACATAGTTCCTCCTTCTCTATGTCTCTACTTTCTTTACACACTTTTACTTATATATCTATCTAATTGACATGTCCTTTGTCTGTAGAGAAAATTACAATCTAGAGAGATGCCTACAATATAATATTTATTTGTAAATAAGTCATAAGTAGTGTTCTCCACATTCTATAACCAAGACCAGAAGTCATTGGCACCTCCTGGCCTTGGATGCCTCGCTGCTCTTCTGACTCTCTGACCAGAAGGATGCAATTTACCTGTAAGAACTAACAAGCTATCTTTGGGACCAAGATGATGCTTCAGTACCAAAATGATCCCATGTTTATTTCAGAGTGCTTGGGAATATGGGCTGAAATCTGCTAGGCTTTTAGGATGACCACACTAGATTTACCCTTAAAATGTACATACTTTATTCATACTAACATTCCCTAAAATATCATATTAATGTAAATGTTAAACATATCTCACCAAGAGGGAACAGTTGAACAGAAAAGTTCCTGCATAGTCGTACACTTCAAGCCTGATCTCCATCTGCTGTGAAAGCCCTTTAGTTATTGCTGGCTGAGGGGCTGTTTTTGATGGAGTTCCAGTTGGTCTCAGGACTGCCAGGCAGGCTGCGTGGTTCCAGCAAGTGTGTTGAAAGTTTAATGATCACAGACTAGATTCCACTAATTTTGCAGATGGTTATCATTATACAGGCTAGAGATTTCTTGTCATGGAGTCACAGCAGTGTGATCCCACATACTAGCTCCATAGTTCCATTTTGTTGTTGTTCTTGTAGCTTAATCCTTTCCTTGGGCAATAGCTTTGCACTATTTAAGCTCACAGCCTGTGGCTGGTTTGCTAGCATAGCAGCACCACCTTAGAATTATACCATCAGCATCTCAAAAGTATATCCTGGGCTAGGTTCATATCTGAGGTTTCTAGTGGCTTGCCTGTAGCATGCTTCTGAGGCCTAGTTCTTCCTGAGCTGCCTCCTGACAAACTTCTATCTCACATGAGCTATATAATTTTAGTCTCAGATATGTTTTCTTAGTTAACCCAGATGGATTTAAGGTATGTTCTTTACACTTATGGAACCAGAATACTCATTTATATGCTCGGACAGTTTTTGCTTCTCTCTAGACACACACTTCATATTCCTCCATCATTTTTTTCACTCATGGCTTCATACAGACAAAAACTATGGGACATATAACAGTGGGCAACATCCTCTCTTACCTCTAGACTTCACCTTAATCTACAGAAATCACTGAAAAGCACAAGCAGCTTAAACTACACAAGGGTCTTTATAGACCAACCGTTAAAATACCACCACAGTCCTCTCCACAAAGCAATACAATCATGTCTAATATAGCAACACCCAATACCATTTGACTTCTACTTTAACTTTTATCTATAGGCTAGATATCATGGATAAAGGATATATTGGGAGTAAAAGGGCTGTTATCACAATACACAGTTCATCACTGAGGGAAGCCAAGGCTTCAAACTCTAAGCATGTGTCTCCATTAGTAGCTATGTCCAAATGCCAAATACTGACATTACTCAGGGTCATGCTTAGCCACGTTATTATAAAGGCCTGGTCCATATTTGTAGGATGGTTTTATCCCTAGTGACTAGGGCACCTCTATTTTAATTAATAGTTTGAAAAATGCCCAAAAGGTATGGCCACAGGCTAATCTGATAGAAGCAATTTTAAACATATCTCTCTATCCCACGTATGCTCAGTTCACAACTAACATTAGCCATCCTAGCTGGTTTGGCAATGATAATTCTGATAGCTTGTATCATGTAAAGTTTTTCAATATACTTTAACTCTGTCAGATAATTTTTCTGGGTAAAATAGTCTGGGTTAGCATTTGCAGTCTCTTAGGACTTGGCAAACATTGTAAAGCAAATGGTATTGGGTCTCTCAAACCTCTACTTCGGTGTCATTTCCCATTCAGCCTTGGCACAGACAGACCTTCATGTTTGATGACCCCTGCTGCTTTTATGGATTTAACAGCTCTTCAGAGATGGTTGAAGTTCAAGGATCTGTACCATAAATACCTCATTCATGCTTTAAAATGCAAGTATATTATAAGTTGTCTCCTTCCCTCAATTAGGACCGTCTTTTCATCGGCTGTGTTGTTGACTGAATTAGGACTCTAGGCACTGGGAATTTAGGGTCTTTCAGAGATATAATTTCAGCCTTTCTCTGTAGGGTGAGTATGGGCTATGATTTGTTTTAGTTAATTTTATATGCAGTCACTTGACTGAAGTTATTTTTTAATTATGTTTAGGGGTTCTCTCGTAGAACTTTTTGGGTTGCTTATGTATAGTATTATATTATCCACAAATAGTGATACTTTGACTTCATTCTTTCCAATTTGTATCCATTTGACCTTCTATTGTTGTGTAATTGCTATAGTTAGCATTTGAGTACTATATTGAACAAATAGAAAGTGAGCGAGCAGCCTTGTCTAGGCCCTGATTTTAGGGTGATTGTTTCAAGTTTCTCTCCATTTAATTTGATGTTGGCAATTGGTGTGCTGTATATTGCTTTTATTATGATTAGGCAGATACCTTGATCTCCTGATCTTTCCAAGATGTTTAACATGAAAGGGTATTTTATTTTGTGAAAGATATTTTCAGCAACTAATGAATTATCATGTGATTAATTTATTGAGCTTATTTAAGTAGTGGATTATGTTGAGA